GAAGGAGCGGAGTCCTCCAGCAGCGCAGAGTATTTCAGGAGAGGAGTTATAGAGGAAGGAGCGGAGGCCTCCAGCAGCGCAGAGTATTTCAGGAGAGGAGAGTTATAGAGGAAGGAGCGGAGTCCTCCAGCAGCGCAGAGTATTTCAGGAGAGGAGAGTTATAGAGGAAGGATCGGAGTCCTCCAGCAGTGCAGAGTATTTCAGGAGAGGAGTTATAGAGGAAGGAGCGGAGTCCTCCAGCAGTGCAGAGTATTTCAGGAGAGGAGTTATAGAGGAAGGAGCGGAGTTCTCCAGCAGCGCAGAGTATTTCAGGAGTAGAGAGTTATAGAGGAAGGAGAGGAGTCCTCCAGCAGTGCAGAGTATTTCAGGAGAGGAGAGTTATAGAGGAAGGAGCGGAGTCCTCCAGCAGTGCAGAGTATTTCAGGAGAGGAGAGTTATAGAGGAAGGAGCGGAGTCCTCCAGCAGTGCAGAGTATTTCAGGAGAGGAGAGTTATAGAGGAAGGAGCGGAGTCCTCCAGCAGCGCAGAGTATTTCAGGAGAGGAGTTATAGAGGAAGGAGCGGAGTCCTCCAGCAGCGCAGAGTATTTCAGGAGAGGAGTTATAGAGGAAGGAGCGGAGGCCTCCAGCAGCGCAGAGTATTTCAGGAGAGGAGAGTTATAGAGGAAGGAGCGGAGTCCTCCAGCAGCGCAGAGTATTTCAGGAGAGGAGAGTTATAGAGGAAGGAGCGGAGTCCTCCAGCAGTGCAGAGTATTTCAGGAGAGGAGTTATAGAGGAAGGAGCGGAGTCCTCCAGCAGCGCAGAGTATTTCAGGAGAGGAGTTATAGAGGAAGGAGCGGAGTCCTCCAGCAGCGCAGAGTATTTCAGGAGAGGAGAGTTATAGAGGAAGGAGCGGAGTCCTCCAGCAGAGCAGAGTATTTCAGGAGAGGAGTTATAGAGGAAGGAGCGGAGTCCTCCAGCAGCGCAGAGTATTTCAGGAGAGGAGAGTTATAGAGGAAGGAGAGGAGTCCTCCAGCAGCGCAGAGTATTTCAGGAGAGGAGAGTTATAGAGGAAGGAGCGGAGTCCTCCAGCAGCGCAGAGTATTTCAGGATGTTAAATGATCTTTTACAGAACAGTGTTCCCACTTTTGATCCCACACAATAAAGACAAGACCCATGTTATGGCCATAGAAGGACGGTCCCCTCTTACCTGGAGTAATTCTCTACCCGGACGCCGTATTTGGTCTCGGTGTGTTTTTTTCCTACTTGCGTTTGGAATTCCGGGTCGAAGAGCAGCACAAAGGAGATCTCCCCAGAATCTGGTTTCAAGTACAGAAGAAAAGAATCTTTCACCACCAGCCACCTAGACAAAGAAAAATATTCCATTCACATTACAGCTGCAGAAATATTCTCTACATCACAAACACGGAGGAGGACAACTTCAAGAGGTGGACAAGTGGAATGTCTCTACTGCTCTGCTCACCATGCGTGCTGGAGACATACCTGATCATATGGGGCTCCTAGCAGGGGCGTGACTACGATTCATGGGGCCCCATATAGAAATATTAATGGGGGCCCCCAGTGACCTTTCTCTGAGACACTCGGCAATGTCAGTTAGGATAACAGTCTGATTGATCTCCTGACATGTCTACATCATGGACCAGCAGCAGGAGAGTGGTCAGCATAGTCAGCACATTACTAGGGGCCAGTGCGGAGGATAGAAGCTGCCGGGGAAGAGCAGCAGCGCCGGGAATTCACTTTTAACCCCAGTTCTTCAACCAGCTACTCAGGAGCTCACCACCATTTGTCAACATAAACTGTTCGTTGTCAGATATAATATCTGATATACAATCTTCGGGCTACGGTGTAAAGTCCTCTATTTACCACCCCAGCCAGAAGCTGCTGAACGTCATGGCATACCAGTCAGTGAGAGAAACAAATAACATACACATGTGGTAGGGTTGTGATTGTCAGGAACAGCAGATTTTATTTTGGGTTGTTTTTTTAGCCAGTTTTCCTTTAATAATGAAAAATAAATCAGGGGATATTCATGCTAACGATCGGAACCCGGGACTCCTGATTCCGTGTTACATGATCGCTGTGATAGCCTCTGATTGGCTATCACAGTGATCAGTCACTGTACAGCCAGGTCCCCTTGTGGTTTTTTTTTTTCCTCTCTATGAATGGAGCAGAGAGATACATTGTATTATTATTATTATACAGGATTTATATATTATTATTATTATACAGGATTTATATTATTATTATTATACAGGATTTATAAATTATTATTATTGTTATACAGAATTTATATATTATTATTATTATTATTATACAGGATTTATATATTATTATTATACAGGATTTATATATTATTATTATACAGGATTTATATATATTATTATACGGGATTTATATATTATTATTATACAGGATTTATATATTATTTATTATTATTATTATTATTATTGTTATACAGGATTTATATATTATTATTATTGTACAGGATTTATATATTATTATACAGGATTTATATATTATTATATTATTATTATACAGGATTTATATATTATTATTATTATACAGGATTTATATATTATTATACAGGATTTATATATTATTATTATTATTATTATTGTTATACAGGATTTATATATTATTATTATACAGGATTTATATATTATTATACAGGATTTATATATTATTATACAGAATTTATATATTATTATTATTATATTATTATTATACAGGATTTATATATTATTATTATTATACAGGATTTATATATTATTATTATACTGGATTTAAATATTATTATTATACAGGATTTATATATTATACAGAATTTATATATTATTATTATTATTATACAGGATTTATATATTATTATTATTATTATTATACAGGATTTATATATTATTATATACAGGATTTATATATATTATTATTATACAGGATTTATATATTATTATTATTGTTATACAGGATTTATATATTATTATTATTATACAGGATTTATATATTATTATTATACAGGATTTATATATTATTATTATACAGGATTTATATGGTGCCAACAGTTTGCTCAGCGCTTTACAATATAACGGGAGACAATACAGCAACAATACAGTTCAATACAAGAGGGATAGGAGGGCCCTGATCCTGGGAGCTTACTATCTAAGATCTCACTAACTCCTGGCATAGAGGGGGAAAAAAAACTTTGTAAAAAAAAATATAAATAAATAAAAAGAAAAAAAAGAAATAATACCTAGATCAAGGTTTGATCTAGTTCAGTGCCAGGGTAAGTGTTTGGGTCAAGGTCAGGGTCAAAGGTCACGGTAAAAAAGGTCAGGGTCAAAAGTCAGGATTTAGAAAAAAAAAACAAATTGGGGCAGTTTTCCTTTAATAATGAAAAATAAATCAGGGGATATTCATTCTAACGATCGGAACCCGGGACTCCCGATTCCGGGTCACATGATTGCTGTGATAGCCTCTGATTGGCTATCACAGTGATCAGTCACTGTACAGCCTGGCCCCCTTTTTTTGTAAAAAAAAAAGATACATAAATATTAAAAAGAAAATCAAAAAATAAAGAAAAAAATACCTAGATCAAGGTTTGATCTAGTTCAGTGCCAGGGTAAGTGTTTGTGTCAAGGTCAGGGTCAGGGTCAAAGGGCAAGATAAAAAAAAAAAAAGTCAGGGTCAAAGGTCAGGATTTTAAAAAAATGGTGTCAGTGTGTTTTCGGTAAAAAAAACAAAATACAAGAAAAAAGAAAATGTGCACTATTGTTTTATAGTATTTGGGTCATGGTCAAAAGGTCAAAGTCAGTATTTTCAGGGGCAGGATTTCATTTTTTTTTCTTTATTAGTATCAGTGTCGGTGTGTTTTAGGTAGGATAAAAAAAAAGAAAGATGTGTACTATTGTTTCTGGGCTGTACTACGGGTACAAACAACAAATAACATACACATATATGGTATCCCTGCGATCGTCAAGAGCTGGAAATTTTATTTTGGGTTGCTCTTTGGTGGTAGGTTATGATAGTAACAAGAAACACACAGCTAAATAAAAAAGAAGATTTTTTTTTTTTACTATTTAGGGACAGTTTTCCGTTGTTAATAAAAAAAATCAGGAGATATCATTACCATTTACCACCAAATGAAAGCCCAGTTTGTCCTGAAAAAACGCGGTATAATCCACCCGGATGTACAAAGTAGTTGTGATGATATGTACGGTTTTACTAACACAGGTCAAAGTTGTAAAATTGTGCTTAGGCATTAAGATTTGTTTTCCCCTCAGGCGTGAAGGGGTTAAGGACGAGCATTGTGGCCAATGTTGAATTCATCTTTAAAAAGCTTAGTTTATGGTTAACCGTTCTTTCTATGTGCTTCGGATTTAATAAAAGTTTGTTTTAAACCCCAATAAAAGTCAGCAGGCAGAATGTTTCCACTACTTCGGTGCCCTGCCTTACTTTTATTATTGGCACTTCTTCCTTTCTACAGGTTGGTGGGTTTACAACTCCCTGCGAAGAGACATCAGTGCTGTAAAAGTTCATAGTAAATCCTCACAAAGGTCAATAGGATCATAAAACAAAAGGCTCGAAAAGCCAAAAACTTTTAGATGGTATAGGGATCTGCTTTTTCAGGTCATCACTGCTTTCTGGTCTCCCAGAGGACACCCCCCCCCCCCCCTCTATTTGTCTTGGGGCCAAGCTCGGGAAGAAAGAGCATGGGCCTGGGTTCACATACATGTGGTTTGGTACATCGCATGTGATTCGCACAGGAACCGCACCGTATTCCAATGCAAATCACATGCGAATTGTGTGCAGTGCGATCGGAGCCGTACATTTTTTATGGCTCTAATTGCACCGCACCAAAAAGGTGTAGGACCTTTTTTTTGGTCCACACCAGAATCGGGTCACATGTGTATTCACACCTATGTGATACGGTTCTGCACATCGCACCGCGTTTCAGGGTGTTGTTAACTTAACCACAGTGCAGGGTCAGGTGGCCATTTATAAATGTCCTCCCCGCACCCTGCTTGTGCGCGCTCCCTGGGATCCGGTGCACGCTGTGTCCTCTGGACACAGTGGAACACCGATCGTTGTACGGGACCTCTGTGTGAGGTCCGGATCATGTGATCACTGATTGGCCAATCAGTGATCACATGCAGAGTAGTAAGTAAGATGTCACTTCTGACATCATTGCTTACTACGTGTGAAATCTGTGAATGATCACAGAGGTCACATGGTACAGGGCTATTCACAACAGCCCTGTACCATGTGACAAGCTGTGACCAATCACAGCTCACACAGTATTTCTCAATGGCTGCAAGAATGCAGCCAGAGAGAATGAGAAATGATTGCTTTTACAGCCTTTATGGATGTAAAAGCAATCAGTGTAAGAAAAAAAAAACACAGTGGAACACCGATCGTTGGATCGTTGTCAATTGTGACATCATTGCTTACTACGTGTGAAATCTGTGAATGATCACACAGATCACATGGTACAGGGCTATTCACAACAGCCTTGCACCATGTGACAAGCTGTGACCAATCACAGCTCACACAGTATTTTGGCTGCAAGAATGCAGCTAGAGAGAAGGAGAAATGATTGCTTTTACAGCCTTTATGGATGTAAAAGCAATCAGTGTATAAAAAAACAAAATAAATCTTCATAACCCCCCACAAGTAGTACAGTGTCACTATGGTAACACTGTACTGCTAGGGTGACAGTATGTAAAAAAAAATAATAATAATAATAATAATAATAATATAAAAAAATAAAACAATGTACAAATAAAATTAGAAAAATTATAATTTTTGGTTATAAACTAATTTTGGTTATTTTTTTTGCTAAACAGATAACTGAATAAATTTTGGCCAAGATTTATGAAGAAAGATTATTTATTTGCAAAAATGTTATAAGAAAAACACTTTTTTCAAAATGTTTGAACTTTTTCATTTAAATAGCAAAAAAAAAAAAAAAAAAAAATCCCAGTGGTGAATAAATACCACCAAAATAAAATTTTATCTGTCTCAAAAAAAATGCTAAAAAATTCATATGGGTACAGTGTTGCATGACCGCGCAATTGTCATTCAAAGTGTGTTGGCGCTGAAAGCTGAAAATTGGCCTGGACAGGAAGGAGGGGAAAGTGTCCGGACATGAAGTGGTTAACATACACACCCGCAGCGGTTCGCATGAACGGGGTGCGATTCTGATGCGGAGCGGAATTCGTACAGAAAACGCTGCAAGTTCCGCACCACATCAGTGTGAACCCGGACTAAAGGGAAATGTAGAATTTTATAACTAGAACAAGAGGCAAGGGGATGCTCTTCCAGTGACAACTGTCCAAAAGGGTACTTTTGGATTCATTTTACTTCCTGTTGCATCTTCGAGACAAGAAGTGAATGGATGAAAGGAATGTTTATTGTGGGGGGGAACTTCTGATCCGGGCCGTTTGGATGATTCCTGTTATCATTACGATTTAAAAAAGGAGCCAAACAACAATGTGATAATAAATGGCTTTGTGTGAGAACTATCCTTACATAAAAGACAGTTGTTTGGCATGATCGGTCATATTTTCAATATAAGTGCCAAATTTCACGATTTCTGCCAGGGGAGGCAAACTGTTGAGTGAAACTGTGCAAGCAGAGCAAGCTGTCCAGGAAAAGCAACAGCGACGGGTTGGGACTAACCATACCTCTATCAGAGGGGGTGGAAGAGTTGCAGCAACTGATGTATACAGCAGGGCCGGATCTAACCTATCTGGTCTGGGGGTGCAGTAAAAATAAACTCAGGGGGCGTAGTGCCAACACTGTGTGAGAGTCACATAGTGTCAGGACCTGGGAAACCATAGTATGTATTAGGATGACACAGGACCTGTCCTCCTTATATCAGATGTCCCTATCAGAACCCCCTTTAAATTAGGAGTCCTCATCAGAGTCCCCCCTTTACATTGGGTTCTAATCAGCTTGCCACCTTACATCAGGTGTCCCCATCAGAGTGCATCAATCAGAGTTCCATCTACATCAATTGTCCCCAGCAGAGTGTCAACTTACATCAAGGGCCCCATCATAGTGCCCCCTTACATCAGGGTCTCCATCAATGTGCCCCCTTACATCGGGTGTCCCCATCAAAGTGCCCCCTTACATCAGAATCCCCATCAGAGTGCCCCTTACAACAGGGTCCCCATCGTACACCAGGTGTCCCATCAAAGTGACCCCGTACATCAGGTGTCTCCAAAAGAGTACCCCATTAGATCAAGTGTCTCTATCAAAGTGCCCCCTTACATCAGGTGTCCCCATCAAAGTGCCCCCGTACACCAGGAGTCCTATCAAAGTGCCCCCTTACATCAGGTGTCTCCAAAAGAGTACCCCATTAAATCAGATGTCTCCATCAAAGTGCCCCCCTTACATCAGGTGTCCCCTCAAAGTGCCCCCTTTTATCAGGTGTCTCCATCAAAGTGCCCCCCTTACATCAGGTGTCCCCATCAAAGTGCCCCCGTATATCAGGTGTCCCCATCAAAGTGACCCCTTACATCAGGTGTTCCCATCAAAGTGCCTCCTTACATCAGGGTCCCCATCGTACATCAGGTGTCTCATTAGAGTGCCCCCTTACATCAGGTGTCTCCAAAAGAGTACCCCATTAGATCAGGTGTCTCCATCAAAGTGCCCCCTTACATCAGGTGTCCCCATCAAAGTGCCCCCTTACATCAGGTGTCCCCATCAAAGTGCCCCCTTACATCAGGTGTCCCCATCAAAGTGCCCCCTTACATCAGGTGTCCCATCAGAGTACCCCCTTACATCAGAATCCCCATCAGAGTGCCCCCTTACATCAGAGTTTCCATCAGAGTGCTCCCTTAAATTAGGTGTTCCATCAAAGTGCCCTTTTACATCAATTGTCCCCAACAGAGTGGCCCCTTACATATGATCATCGTAATCAGAGTGCCCCCTTATATCAGGTGTCCCCATCAGTGTGCCCCCCTTATATGGATTAGTGCCATCAGAATGCCTACTTACATGAAATGTCTGCATCAGACTGGCTCATGGATTAGTGGATGCACTTTCAGAGACCTGGGGGGGCACAGCTAAAATCTGGGTGGGCATAGCCCACCCCAGCACCCCCCTAGATCTGGCCCTGGTATACAGTATGTCATAAAAACCAAAAAAAAAAAATTACCGTAAATGTGGGAAGCTGACTGTTGTAAGTACCCCTGTATATATTATATTTTGTCCCAACTCCTGTTGGTGTCACTTTTTACTTTTTTGCAGTTGTGGTGTTTTCTGGACAGTGTCGGTGATTCATAGACAAATGTCACTCAATTCCCGAAACCGTTTTTATGGGAAGAATAAAAAAAAAAAAAAAAAAAAAAAAAAAAAATCAGGGTTTCGCCTGTTAACCTAACTGACCTCTTAGACCAGCGGTAGCAGAACTGATGGTGGCCAGCACAGTTGAAACCTTGAATCCGGTGTCCTCCCGACCTCTTCAGTATGAAACCTTCCCTGCAAAAAGTGGATAAAACGCAGTCAGAGATACAGGGCCACCTACCAACCATAACTAGAACAAAACATCAGCACTAATGGTGAACAGGAACCTCAAGGCTTTTAGAGAAAGGATCTTAAATAGTGCTCCTCTTCCAATCTCATCAGAGAGAAGAAACCGCCCATGAGGAACTCTGCAATGTATAGGTCCTGCTGCCCTCTTCAGAGAGGGGAGATCCTTACTCTATGTAGCTGAAACAAAGACAAAGAGAGAGGGCGCACCAACCTATAGCAATAATAATAAGGCACTAGGCTAGTACACCCTCTCTCATTGCCTTTGTTTCAGCAATGTACCAACCAATCAGAAATCACTTTTCAAATAAAAGATTTTCTAATTGTAGCCCTACCCCCGCAGGAGCCGCTGTTCATTTGGGCCTATTTCCTCCACTCACAGAATACCCAGACACAAGGCATGTTCAGCTTTCCTCCTTTGGCTCAAGAATCAGTCTAGGCAGGTTTCTTTATGGGTTTTTTATTAGGAACAGGATCTGGGATAGGGATGCCCGCATGGAAGAAAAAATATATATGAAATACATATTAAAAATATTCTTCCCAAATATATTGACAAATATTTGAAATGCTACAGTTTTGGCCATATTCAATATATTTCAAAATACATTTCAATAATATATATACTGTGTGTATATATATATATCTCATGTTGAAATGCGTTTTTATTACAAAATATATAAAAAATATTTTTAAAAATACATTTTAAATATACTGTATGTCTTTAAAAATAAAAATTTAAATTTTTGGAATGCATTTACAAATATTTGTAAAAATATGTTAAAATAACTTTTTTATATGTTAAAAAAAAAATCTGAAGAAAATATTTAAAAAATATATATTTTTCTTTAAATATTTTTCACATATCTTGTAATATATAAAAAATGCATTTCAACATGCAGTATATATATATATATATATATATATATATATATATATATTGAATATGGCCATAATTGTAGCATTTCAAATATATATCAATATATTTGGAAAGAATATTTTTAAAATATATTCCAAATATATTTTTCTTCCATATGGGTGGGGAGCATGGGATACCCCAAATCTGTAGAACTTTAGGACTCCTAGGCTTCTGGCTGCTCTGTACAAAATTGCAGGCCATCTCAGGCTGCACTGTATCCTCTTGGCTGAGCACACTTTAGCACAGTGATCTCCAAACTGCGGCCTGAGGGCCAGATGTGAAGGTACCAAATGTGACCCTTTGCTTGCCTTTATCCTGCCCTTAGGGCACTTTTGCTTCCATTGATACAGGACACTATTTTGCCAACCGACAACAATGGGGAACCATTTTTTACCACTGACACCAACAGTGGGGCAGTATTCCTCCCAAAAGTTCCAACGGTTGGGCACTATTCCTCCACCTAATACGAAATGTGGTGAGGTCTACTCCTACTGATGCCTGCCGCTGGCCACAGTCTGGCCCCCTAAAGTCTGAAGGACAATAAACTGGCCCCTTGGTTAGAAAGTTTGGAGACCCCTGCTTTAGCAGTGTGGCAGGCTCCAAGCAGTCTTGCATACCTCCAGGCTGCATTGCACTTACTTATGAGATAACCCACCCCACAGCCACTTCTCTCTATAGCAGATCAAGTACTCACTCTCCAGAATGTTTGGGTTTCCTACACCAACTGGCTCTGCTCAGTCTCTAGACCAGGCTCTCTCTGGTAGGTGCCTCAGCTAAGCCTAGCTGAGACCTTGAGGTCTTCAAAAAGGCACCACCGACTTCCTCTCTTCTCTTTCTCTCTGCCCCAGAGGCAGAACCTCTGGACAGAGGTCTCCTCTGGACCCTGGAACTCTATACCTTGCTCTCAGGCCTCAAAATATTTATGGGCTCTCACTCCACCTACTAGGCACACCTCCCCAGGGACTGGCCAGAGCTGCATAAATATTCAGACTGCCTGTTCTGCTCTCACTCCCACTATACTTCTAGAAGTCTCTAGAAGACAGGGGGAATAGCAGAACTGAACAGCCCTGAGTAATTAACCCCAGCCCCACTGTGT